CTAGGCAGTCTAGTTGTGGTCGTTACCCTGGAGACCATGGCTGTGACATTTCCTTCAGAACTGGGGGACAGAAAGGACCCTCCTTGTCTTTGGGGACCAGAGAGTTTGTTTCTGTGAATCTTGGTGTGTATGTATAACTAATTTTTTTATACCTTAACTTGATGGGTAGGTAGGGCTAGAGAGCTGTCTCAGCAGCTCAGCAGTTAAGAGCACGGGCTGTTCTTCCAGAGGACCCAGGTTCAGTTCCCAGCATCCAACCCTGTAACTCCAGTTACAGGGGATCCGACACCACCCTCACACACACATGCAGACAAAACATCAATGCACATTAAATGAAGTTAAAACATTTTTTAAATGTATGTTTAGGAAAAATAATAAAATCTAGTTTACTTACAGGTCCTTTAAGTAACTCATTTTGAAAATAGCGTTTGAGGAAAATAACCCTTTGTGCTTTTAATACCTACTCTAAAAACTCAAGAGCAAGTCTTTTGAATGGAAAAGGGTGCTGTTATGCATTTTGAGAGGCTGTCGATAACACTGTGATTTATTAGGCAAATACAGCAACCAAGTACACACATCCTCTTCTGAGCAGAAACAAAAAAATAGTTTTCACCGACTATCAGGCACTTAAAACATAAACTCAAGTCATATTCCTACATCCTTCCCAGAATGTTTTCATAAGCATATAAAATATATTTCCAAACAAAGAAAGACTTTTCTTAAAGTAAACAATGAAAATAGAACTCGAGCTTAAATCCCACGAGACAGAACAGTGCTTAAGATTCTGTGAGATGGGTTAAGTGGGTAAAGGTGCTTGTTGTGCAGAGAGGTGGAAGGCCGAAGTAACTCCACAAAGGGGTCTACGCACGTACGCACGCACGCACCCTCCCCACACTCACACAATAGTAATGTTTTTAAAAATATAAGCGGTAGTATTGGATAGAAGAGACTGAAATTCATATATTTGATTAAAATGTAAGCATTTAATAAAATGATTACAACAGCACACAGTAGATAATCATAATGAAAAATATAGGTCAGGAAAATAATGAATTCTAGACTTAAATTTTTACTTTACAACAAGGCACTTAACACATCGAAACAGTATAGTAAATTTCCAAAAGAATGCAAGTGGCTGCCTCTCAAACCGTGTGAAGATATTTCTTGTCTGAACACACTGTAGCTTATTAACCATACATTTTGCAGCATTATCATTGCATAGGAGGTAAATTAAATAATGAATTCCAACTTGGCAACTAGATGAGCTTACAGTTTCTTCTCTTTCTTTTAAAGGATATTTTAAAATAATTCTGCAGTGACCCACCTTTGCTGTTCATGATCCATTGAACACAGTACAGTAATATTAACAAAGTAATAAACCAGTGCTTATGAGGCATCTATCTGTATAAAAACTTATCTTTGGGTACCTTTGACAGGAGTTTCAATATATGGATATCGAAGTCAAGAGCACTTCTTCATAAAATGAATTTTGTCAAATGAGTCAATTAATGAAATTATTGCAACTAAATTATTAACTAAATTATTGCAACACACTGGCATTAAAAACAATATCAGAAATCTTTACACACAAACATAGAAACAACTCCAACACAATGCATATAACTTATACTTAATTACGACATGTAAACTCGTTTATTAAAAGATTCCTTCTCACACTTCCTTACACTACAGGGGTGAGTGTGTTAAGACCAGCTTAAATTTTAAATCATTTTAATAATACAAAACTATAACTATAACAAAAAGTTTAAGCTATTGATGGAGCAAGACATGAACTTTTAATTTAAAATGAAATGACGTCTAGCACATAAGTGAAAGACAGTTGATTTGGGGTTTTGAAGTAAACAAAGCCTGGTAGTGATAGACTAGTCACTAATGATTGTGATATGAGGCAAAAATGACCTGCAATTTTCTTTGATCGGATTATGAGCACTTTTCCTTTGGGAAGGACTTAGACTATCTTTAAAATACCTCTTTCTATGCTGGGCATTGATGGCACATGCCTTTAGTCCCAGCACTCAGGAAGCAGAGGCAGGCAGATCTGTGTGTGTTTGAGGCCAGCCTGGTCTACAGAGCTAGTTCCAAAGCAAAACAGAGAAACCCTGTCTCAAAAAACAAAATGAAATAAAATACCTCTTTCCCATGAGAATTCTAGGATTTTTGGCAAAAAAAAAAAAGGAAGAGCAACTGACATCAACTGGAGAAATCTGAAAATGTTTTTAAAGTAGCATTTGCATTCCAGCCATGGCAGAGTGCCACAAGGTGGCAGTAGTAACACAGTAAAGAATCTATGGCCACAAACCTGAGTTGACTGTCAGCCAGCCTGCTGTCTGTGCTTAACCCTACTTCCTGAGATGCCAGTAACTCAAAGGACAGTCACAATTAGCTCAGGAGGAACTAGGGGAAGGATGCTTCCTTTTTCTGATCTAGCGGAGAGCTCAGCAACCCAGGTTTGAGAGAACTCCATTTCCATTGGGGAACTTCAGGGAAAACATTTGGCAAACTACATGTGTGTTATATATCACAGGCGTTTCCCAGAAGTTACAGGACACATAGGGAATGGCTAAGGCCTGCATCTGAACTGGCAGAGAACCAGTACTGCAATAATTCACTGCTTTGGCTGGGGGTGGTGGTGGTCATAGGAGCTCAGACTTGCAATCCCCGCACTCTGGAGGTTGAGGCAGGAGGATGGAAAATTGGAAGTCAATTTGTGCTACAAAGTGAGATGGATAATAAGACCATCTCAAAACTGTTTCAAAGGCAACATCATCACTGTCTACATTTTATATCCCAAATGGCATGTTAAGTTTCCAGTTTGCTTTCCTACGCTGACATGAGTTTTGGTCATCTTTCACACCTTGAAACTTGGGCATCTCCCTCTCATATTTCAAGCCACCTGTTTCCTCATCCGCAATGACTAAAAGGCTGCAGTAAATATACACAACAGTATGCAACGTAATGATGCTTAAGCATTTCCTTGACTGAAGAGACACGGGAAATCCTAGCCACAGCTGGATAAGGCTCTCAGGTGTTTTGTTTCAATGAGAGACTCGTTGCAGGCCAAAACTGGGGCTTCAGCATCAAATGATTCTCTCATAATCAGACACAGAAGTTAAATTAGTGTTTCCAAGCAAACACTTGGTTCTAATGCAAAGGGGTCAGAGTGGAGGAAATGAGCACGTGAAAATTGTACAGAATTGTGTGTAGAAGAAGGTAAACTGGGTATATATTTATTATTGGCTAAATACTTGGAAAAACCCTTGCATTTCCAAGTCTGCCAAAGATGTTTAGAGTTCCCACTCTGGTAGGGACAGCCAGACTTGAGAACCTTACTCTCTGGTCTTTGAATCAGAGCCGTTTCCTTTACCTACCCAGGATCACAGAACTAGACACACGCAGAGAATTTTAGCACCCGAGGACAGTGGCCCTTCTGAACAGACCTGTATTGTGCTTTTTCCCCAAGCCATTTGAAGTTTAATTCTGAGACATCAAGGCAGACTGGCTTAGAAGGACGGTCCTGGGGATGTTCCTCATCCCACTTCATCATTGCCAACGTGACAGCCTCCTTCCACCCTGTTCATCTCACCCCTCTGCTCCCATGCTGACACATGCGTAATGGAGAACATTTTCTACTGCCAACTAACCTGAGTAACACGCTCCACCTGATATTCTACACCAGATTTTTTGTTTTTAATTTGTTCATATCGGACACAGCTGTTCCCTGTTCCTTGTTTTGTTTCTGTTTTTTGGAGACAGGGTTTCTTTCTCTGTGTAATAGCCTCGGCTGTCCTGGAACTCTCTTTATAGACCGGGCTGGCCTTGAACTCACACTGACTGACCTGCCTCTGCCTCCTCCGTGCTGGGACCAAGGGCGTGTGGCCCCATGCTCGGCTCCCTGTTCCTATGTAGCTGTATTTATCTCAAGTGTGGACGCCAATGGCATGTCTAAGTGCAGCACCGTGTGTGTTGTGTTCACAGGGTGAAAGTGTCCTTAGGGGCTCGTAGGGAGAGGAGCGCCTTGCTAAAGAGCATGAAAGCAGTAAACCTTTGGGATCCAGCTTGCATTTCCTGCATGTCCTGCATTTCCTGCAGTGCACACTATCAACTATGAAGAAACTGTTTTAAGACAATGTGCCCAGACATTTCTCATCACAGCTAGAAGGGGAACACACGTGTGTTCCTCAGTGAGTGTGAGCATCACTTCACATGTGTGTTTTCAGCCTGTGCCCATGCAAGTGAACAGCCCTGGGCTCCAGGCAGGGAGCATCCAATGTGGGTAGCAGGAAAAGCCCCATGCTTCCTGTGTATCTGTCACAGAAACTTGAAAGTAAAAAAAATCCACACACAGGGGAAAAAAAAAAATCTATGGTCGTGTCTGTCACCCTCACGTTTGCTTGGAACACTCCCTCTTTAAAAAGAATCAGGTAGAGGTTTTAAAAAAGAGGAAAAGTCATACATAGTGCATTGGGGGGGGGGGGGGAGCAGGGGGAGCAGCAAAGCCGACCCCAGACAACACCCTAACCTTCCCCAGACGGGGCAAAAACAAAGTGCATTTGACCTTCACCCACCTGTGGCTTGCCCTCAGCCAGCCACTTGGTGGAAAGCCGCTCCCACCATCACTTCCTGGACTCACAGTGGCTGCATATCCAGACATTTTATTCAAAAACGTTAGCAAACTCTTCTGACCTTGAAGGGGGAAAACATCTGGAAAGAACATGGAAATGGAGAAAGAACGAGGAGAGGCATAGCGTGTTCCTGCCATCTCTTTAAAATCCCAGTTTGGGGGCGCTGTCACCCTAGCATGAAGAGCTGCAGGAAAATATATGTTTCTTGGGCTGAATTAAAAAGAAAAGAAAAGAAAAAAGCCAAAAAGGTAATACTTCATTCGTTGCTCCGATCTTTTGCACAAAATTTGGTCCACTTCATTTACCAGTCATTTCTCTGAGAATAAATATGAAGCTGTGCCTTTGGTTTCAGCGGATTCTTTTGGTGGAAAGGCTGCTGCCAGGCTGGCAGCTCACGTAGACTTCTCATTATCCTCCCCGATCTTCTGGACCCGGGAATACTTTTTGCATGATGACTTAAAGCAGCCAGGGGGCCAGGACAGTGGCCAGGAGAAGCAGCAAGGAATTGAGCCTTGTACGTTTTTCTCAAAAAATAGAAGATGGGGAACCACCAAGCCCGAGATAAGAAATTTGTCTGGGAAGACACCTTCAAGTTCTGTGAAGGGTGGTAAAGAAAAAGGAGGCATTATTTATGACTTGCAGGCTAGACTTCTCAATTAAATGGCATTTGTTTATTTATTTATTCATTCATTTATTTATTTTGTGGCTTAACAGGCAAGGAAAAGTGAAATCCCATGGCGCTGACTGCTGTCCTGGCTTTTCCCCAGATCACTTTGACCTTGGTCCCCATGTCCTGCCCTCCTCCTGGCTCATGAGACCTCTGTCTGCAGTTATCGCAGGAGAGAGCTCAGGAATAGATGTGGAGGGCATGCAAGAGAAGTATTTCCAGGATGTGTTGTGGTCAGATATGAGGGTCAAGAAGAGGTGAACGGGAAACTAGGAAGGCTGAACATATTCAAGAAGAAAAGATGGAGATTTCGGTTTAGGTGTCTGGAAGCATCTAGATCGACGTGGGAGAAGACAAATGAAAGCAGAGGACTACAGAATTGGCGATCAAGCACCACAGCCAAAAAAAGGATCCATAGAGAGCAAGCACTGGTGGATACAAGAACTCTGAGTAGATTCAAGAGCTCTGAGGAGATCTTGCAGCAAGTCAATTGCTTCTGGATTTTATACACATGCTCACCATACACACACAGCATAGCACACTACCACCACTAACATTGGGTAATCTATTCCAAAATAAGTCAGTCGTGGTGCGCAGACCAACCAATTACAGCAAGAGCATTACCAAGGTTAGAAAAGCCTGGGCGGGTGGTGGGTGGGGGTGGTCGTGGAGGGCAACCTTGGGCCCAAATGGAGCCAACAAGAGAAATGGGACGCTTCCCAGGATGGAGGTAAGAGGGGGATGGGAGGGGAGGGTGTTTAGAGTGCATGTGAGAGGGCAGAGAGGGTAAAAGGGAGGGAAGGAGGGAGAGAGGGCTGGGGGAGGGAGGGAGGGAGGGAGGGCTGGGGGAGGGAGGGAGGGAGGGAGAGGGAACTGGGATCGACATGTAAAATAATAAATTTAAAAAAATGCTTTGACTTCAAAATTTAAGTTGAAGGACAAGTTACTGGGGAAAAGGATTTCTATTTTTGTTTCCACAGAAAATGAAAAGATGTGGATTCCTTCCAGACTAATGTGGTTTGATCACGCCAGACCACCTGAAACAGAGTACAAGCTGATCCTACATTCAAAGCATCTGGACAAAACAGCCCTACAGACTACAGCTAGGATATCTGAATCTTCTTCGAATCCCCCAACACAGCGCCCTTACCAGCAGGAAGTAGTTTGGAAAGAACGACGCCCAAATTCCCAAATATTGTCTATAAATGCTTGTTTTCATTTAAATGGACTTGGTTATATAAAATTAAATGAAAAAAAAATAAATATGAAAAAAAAAAGAGTGGAATTCGAGAAGAATGGGGTCATGCTGGGTCAGGAGGGAGGGAAGACAGACACGCTGACCACCCCAAAGTTACTCAACAAGGCAAGGAACCTCTCAACAAGTTGCGCCATAATGCTCTACAGGGAAGGTTCCTAGGTATATATAGCCCCTCAATTCTAGTATAAATCAGCTGGACTGACTAAACATGCTGCCAGCAATTTTACGGTGTTCTTACTGCTCAGATAGCCTGTACATTTGTGAAGTTGGTTTGCTGTCACTTTTTAAAACCAGCAGCAGTGACAGTAAGTGTAGCCGAGCTGACCAAACCATGTATGTAGCCAGGTGGCAAGCACAGTCCTTCCCGTGAAGCTGTCTAAAACCTCCGTGTGTGGAGATGGGTCCCCTTCACACAATGGACATCCCTCACCCAAGGGTCTTCACTGCTCACCTTTTCGTTGGCCATGGAATGGTACCACCAAAACAGCCGTGTGGTGATATAGTAAGCAATGATCACATCGACGGTATAGTGTTCGTGAGCCACGAGGATGCATATGATCCCGGCGGCACTCAGCAGCCAGCAGACCAGATGGTACCACCAGAAGTGACGAGGTGAATCTGGAGCAGGAAAACAGAGGCAGTAAGATCCCCAGAGATGGACTCATGGACTGACTGACTGGCTGGGGCTGGAACCCAAGGCAGAGGGGGTCACGTTAGCAGGCATGGCAGTCATTCTTAGGAGGTGGATGGGCAACAAGAGATATTCTAGGCCTTGCCCGCCTTCAACAATCTATTAAATAAGGAAGAGAATAGAGCTGTTATTTAGGTTAGCTAGAATTGGCTCAAACTGGCTCACACACATGACCCCACTGGAAAGAGAAATAGTAAGGGCCCAAAGAAAAGGTCCATGAAAATAAGGGGCCAAAATGAGAAAAGCAGGGATATTTTGAGGTCTTAAGTTTACTTGTATTTCTTCAGATGTGTCTCTGTGGTGGGGGAATGCCACCATGGGGTGAGCAAGATTTGATTCTCAGCAACTTTATACCACCATTGACAATAGCAATGGCACAGCTCTCCGGTGCCAAAGTTCTGGCTTCTTGCCCCTCCCTGTACCGACATCTTGCCTCCTGCATGAGGTTACTGAGCTCATGCCACTGACCAGCACTCAACGGGTTAACAGAGTGGCAACCCCAAGTCCTCCTCAGGTAAGTGTTCATGAAAGACATGGCTGAAATAGTCTATTCCTATTATCTGGCCATCTGGTCCCCTCCCGTTTCTTTCTATTTTAAAGCTTTACTGCCTCACAATAAACGTGTAATGATCTAGCAGACTGAAATCAACTTGACATTAAACTTGGTTTATGTTCATAGCAACACAGGTGCTTGATTGTAAAAGAACGGTTAAAGAGCAAAATGTGTGATCCTCGAAACTTCAGACAGCGGCCTAAACGGTTACCTAAACAGTTACCATCCGTACACAAGGGGATTCTTGCCGAATCAGCTACAGCTCTGTGGATCCCAAGTGGAACCACATCCCTATATTTGATTCTCATTTCAGTTTCTTCCTCATCATTTAGTAACTTCATCCTGCTGCTATGTTTGCTAAGAGATTTAAATGCCAGGAGAGGCCTCAGGGGGGTCGAGATCCAGTCCAATGACTATTGCATTAGAACCCTGAACACCGAAGGACTCATTACATGCATTCTCCAGTTCCACACCCCCACCAGCCCTCCTGAAGCTTCGTATCTGACACACTTTTCTCCATGTAAGTCGTCGGGGATTTATTAACAGCTCAAGATGTTTGGGTACATTAGAACTATTCTGTACCATTAATCACCAGAAACTGAAATGGGTAAGGAGTAATGGTGTGGCCAGAATGGCCATTTTACTACTGATGGCACCGAAAGTTAGTTTTTTAAAAGAATTCTAGAAAACCTCATGTGTCCTATGAAAATGCATTTTCTATGATGCTACCACATTGAGATCACAACCCACTCTCCTCTCTCCCCGCACCAAGAATAAGGTGACTTGTTTTTGCTCCTGTTTACTGTTGTGAGAAAGCAGCTCACTATGTAACCCAGGCTAGCCTTTAACTAACAATCCTGCTTCAGCCTCCTTGGTACTAAGATTACACACACCCAGCGGGGTAGAAGCAACCAAAATGGCAAATGAGAAAGAATCCTGTTTGTCTACTCTTTCTAGCCACAGGGATAACACCGAGTGAAGAGATGACAATAAATGGACTTCACTGTCTGTGTGGGACCTCCAGCAGAGGTGGCATTAAATACAGACAATGAACTCGTGGCAAGCACTAAGAAAATCCATTGGAGAAGAGGCCAGACATTTAGTATTACCAGCCCACACCGTCTTCCACAGGCTTTTGAAGAATACAGGCTCCACGAGCACATTGGTGCAATTAAACCCTTTCATGTTAAATAACGAAATGGTCCTGATCCAGTACGCTCTCCCAACTGAATATTAATCCACTTTCAACAAGAGTGCTAGCAAGGAAAGAACCCAGAACGATCAAAAGGCAGGAGAGTAATCACATATAAGCAGCACATCCTCTAGAAGCTGACTTTCCAAAGCACCAGAGACACTGCCTACTCATGGAAACAAGACAGGTATGACTCAGGCGGTGACTTCAAGACAGGTGCAAACAAACACAGACTGCCCGGTGTACATCAGAGGGCTGGTGATGCAGCTAAATTTATAGCAGTTTCGTTTCAAAAGTTGTTGGAAAAAATATAATTCTTCCCATGCCATACGTAAATGTATAATGTAACTTTTTAAAAAATCATGCCATGGGGAAATATGTCTCTATATATTGCATATAGAAGTAATCACAACTTGCCTTTCTACTTGCTCTGATGGAAAGATGAATGAAAACTATGCCCTGTTTATCATTAAGTAGACTATTCTTAGATGATCCTGTAAGATCAGACAAGTTGGACTTCTTTGTGTGTTTGCTGCTTGTGTGTACATGTTTGTGTATATGTCCCCTCTGTCTCTCTGTGTGTGTGTCTTTCTCTCTCTCTTCTCTCTCTCTCTCTGTGTGTGTGTGTGTGTGTGTCTGTCTGTCTGTCTCTCTGTGTGTGTGGGGCTGTATAAGCTGGCTGGAGAGGTCAATACCAAGGGTCTCCCTCAGTTGTTCATTGCCTTAATTTGAGTTTGAAACAGGGTCTCTCAGTGAATCTGAAGCTCACTGATCCAGCAAGGTTAGCTGCCAGCAAGCCCCAGGGACACCCCCCCCCCCAATTCCACACTGTCTCTATATTCCCAATGCTGGGATTACAGGCATGTGCTTTTATATCCAGTTTTTAACAGGAACAGCAGAGATTCAATCTTGGGTCCCCATGATTTGCAACAGCAAATAATTTGCTTTCTGAGCCATTGCTCCAACTTAAAAATCTCTAAAACTTCTAAACAGAACCAAGAAATTAAGACCACAATCTCTGGAGTCAGAGTGCGTTTAAACACTTCATCCTAAAACACTGAAGTTGTATTTATAGCCAGGTCACTTCCTGTATACACAAGTAGAGGAAAGAGGAGGCGAGACAGCACCCCCTGGAGGGGTGGCAAAGACTACAGCATTTGTATCAAGGGCACAGATTAGTGCTAGGCGTAGAACTATCATTATTGTAGATATTGAATAAACTGACACTTAATAGTATTTTACAGCTTACATTGTTATATATTCTTATTTGTGGTAAGCTATGTAAAATTAAGTTTATATTTTGTTATACTGTGTGAAATCTTTCCACTTACGATGTTTTATGCACATTATTCTTACCATATTCTATGTATGTGTACTTTTACTTATGTTAAAGACATTTCGTATATTGACACAATTTATGCACATTTATTCTTGCCATATTCTATGTATGTATACTTTTCTTGTATTCAAGACATTTTGTATATTGATACAATTTGGGATATTTATCATGCTGCCCTTTATAGTTCTACCTCTTGTTTTGACATTTCTACTTTACCTCTATTTTAGCCATTTACATGTATGTATATGTATATAGTTATATTGTTTAGGTATTTGTTCCTGCTTTACTCAGGGAAGTTTCAATCAGTTTTTCTAGCTAAGTTCCTGAGTATTACAGATTATCTTCACTCATGTTTCCTGTACCTTTGAGATTAGTCAGATATAGATGCTTAATCTTCAATCACTTCATAGACATGCAGAACATGGCATTTAAATGTTTTAATATTAGCACTCCGTTGACATGAGACACTGTTGCTCCTGACAGCACCGTGCACTTTCCTGAAAATATGTTGGACACTGTTGTTGCTCCTGCTGGAGTTCATTTTCGCCTCAGCTAATGGCCTCTTCGGCAAAGAATTGCCCCACCTTGACCGCTGATTTGGACATGCAGTCCTATGTGCTTGCAGGAGACAAATATAGAAGACTGCTGAACCTTGCCAAGTCAGGGTAAGACAGCCTTTCTACCTCTCTGCTGTTTTTATGGTCTGTCAAATACTCTTGGCCTTAGCTAAAACTGGGTGTACCAACGTTGCTGTGAGACCTTGGGTGACTGTCCAGGTAGCCTGCTGTTTCTGTCCTTGCTGCACCTTTTGGAAGTTGCCCATCTGCACTTCCTGTCTACTCTAGTATCGTTATTTTCCTTCTCAGGTCTTGATGAGGTTGAAGATTAAACTATCACAACTATTATTCTCTCTTCCTAGTTAGATATATTAGGTACTAGACTTAAGTTTTCCAGCTTAGGACAACTCTATTGTAAACTCTGTTATGCCTTCACCCTAGGACTAGATATGTAAGTCGTTTTGTTCTCGATTTTCCTTTTCTTAGAGCACACTTGTTATTCACTGTTTTGTATATAGTTTTGTATCAAGCCTAAATCTTTTCTTTAGACTAAAAGGGGAAAGGGGAATTGTAGTGGGATATTCACTTTCTCTCCTTCTGTGGCACTGACCACGCCCATTGGTGGATGGAGCCAGGGGCAGAAGTGACCTGTGGAAGGAGGTCTGAGGAGGAGCCCGGGAATGCTCTCTTGGTGGCAGGACGTGGAGAGGAGAGCATCCAGTGGAATTTGCTGGTGTTCATCTGTTTAGGTTGTAAGTTATTTCTCCCTGAATAAACATCTATTCGGCCTATTTGTTTATCCAAATCCTTATTTAACTGCAATAGATACTAAATCCCCGGGACATTTTCTTTTCACTACTTTATGTTTTTCAACACAGAGTGCCTTTACTGTGATATGCAGTGCCCATCTTCTGTAAGCATCCCATGATCCACAGATTGGAGAGTGTACCTCTGGACTAGAAAATGATAGACCCTCCTCCATGGGTGGAACTTCCTTGGTCAAAATTTAGAACTAGAACATAAAGAACACACTATAACTAATAATAATGCATTAGAAATACAGCAATTCCATTAAATGAGGATGCCCTGGGGTGTGTGGAGAGATGATATATACTGTCCCCCAACATATAGTATGCAAACCCCTGGGCTTTTAATGCAAAGGCATTAAGGAGCCTACATGAAGCCCAACCTGTTTGGAGCAATGAAAGGCCAAAGAGGAGAGGACAGCAAGGGACAGGGAGCCCCTGGGATACAGGTCTGTGCCTATGGTGACCTGAAATGGCCCTCAACAGGCTCACGTGTTTCAATGCTTGATCCAAAGTTGGTGGAACTGTTTGGGAAGGATTAGGGGTTGTGGCCTTCTGGGAGGAGGTATGTTACTGGGGATAGTTCTTGAAGTTTCAAAAGCCCATTCCATTCCGAATTAGACCTCTCCTCTCCTCTGCTCTCCTCTCCCTCCTCCTCCTCTCCCTCCTCCTCCTCTCCCTCCTCCTCTCCTCTCCTCTCCCTCCTCCTCTCCTCTCCTCTCCCTCCTCCTCTCCCCTCCTCTCCCTCCTCCTCTCCCTCCTCCTCTCCTCTCCTCTCCCCTCCTCTCCCTCCTCCTCTCCCTCCTCCTCTCCCTCCTCCTCTCCTCTCCTCTCCTCCTCCTCTCCTCTCCCTCCTCCTCCTCTCCCTCCTCCTCCCTCTCCCTCCTCCTCCTCTCCCTCCCTCCTCCTCCTCTCCTCTCCCTCCTCCTCTCCCTCCTCTCCTCTGCTCTCCTCTGCTCTGCTCTGCTCTCCTCTCCCCTCCTCCTCTCCTCTCCTCTCCCTCCTCCTCTCCCTCTCCCTCTCCCTCCTCCTCTCCTCTCCTCCCCCTCCTCCTCTCCTCTCCCTCTCCCCCCCTCCTCCTCCTCTCCTCTTCCTCCTCCTCTCCTCTCCTCTGCTCTGCTCTCCTCTCCTCCCTCCTCTCCTCTCCCTCCTCCCTCCTCTCCTCTCCCTCCTCCTCTCCCTCCTCCTCTCCTCTCCCTCCTCCTCCTCTCCTCTCCTCCTCCCCTCTGCTCTCCTCTCCTCTCCCTCCTCCTCCTCTCCTCTCCCTCCTCTCCTCTGCTCTCCTCTGCTCTGCTCTCCTCTCCCTCCTCCCTCTGCTTCATGGCTGTTGTTTAAACATGTTGTTAAACATAAGTTCTCAGATACTGCCACAGTGCCATGCCTGCCTGCTGTCATGTTCCAATCATGATGGTCATGGATTCTACTCACTCCCTAAAACTGTAAGCGAGTCCCAAATTAAACTTTTTATTTTATAAGTTACTTTGGTCATGGTGCCTCTTTATAACAACAGAGAAAAAGGAACTAAGACAGTGTCCCAAAGCTCTTTTGCCCATGCAAAGCAAAGAGAACTGCGAGAAGCTTCTGGAAGCACCGGGCATAGGACATCTTGGAAGAACCACAGAGAACCACGGAGAAAGAAGTATGGCCATTCAAAAGCACGGAGGGGACGGGCAGCACTCAGGGAGTAACACACAGGGGGCCTGCTAGGCAACGACAGCCCTTCAGTGAACAATAAGAGCCACTGCAAAGCACTTTGGACACAGGAGGTCTGTGCGTTCAGGCCAGCTTGCACTGTCAAGCAAGACCTCATTTCAAGCAAGCAAAGCAAGGCAGGCTAAAAAACAGTAAAACTACTAGAAACATTAAAACAACACGCTACTATAAAATATAAGGGCTTTACATAATGGGAACTTGGTGTATTGACATGGAAAGAGTTTAATTCCTTGCCTGTGTGTTTCATAAGGACAAGATGTTCCACAGAATACCCTACTACTGCAGAGACAGGGAAATGATGAATGACCACATTGGAATAAAATAAGACAAGCATGTGGATGAAATTCAGGAAATACATGTCAATTATTGGGAATCGTAGAACAGACATGTCTGGCAAATAAGTCATTTGGCTTTATCTTTAGAGTGTACTTTTTTTTTTTAAACAACACATTTATCATTTCATTGTTTTTCACTCCACCTCCATTTTTGGGAAAAAAAATCACTTTATAGCTCTGGCTAGCCTAGAACTCATCGTGTAGACCAAGCTGGCCTTGAGCTTATTACATCCACTTGCCTCTCCCTCCCAAGTTCTGGGGTGGAAGGTGTGCGCCATTATGCTTGACCTCTCTGTCTCGTTATTAAGAACTTCCTGCCTTGTGAAGCACTCAGGAAGAAGGGGGATGTCTGGAGGCATTACTAGATGCCAGGAGAAACCACAGCCAGGGCTTTACTCTAGAGGTCACACATGACTAGGTGGAATGATAAAGCACATGTGTGCACAGTGTTTACATCTGTCCCTCTCCCAACTGTCATCCCAGCAGAAGGAATCCCACCCACATCAGGGCCCTGGGACTCCGCCCACCACGGCCATCAGTTCAGTGAGGGATGAACTAGGACTTACATTCTTTGATGAACAAGTAAGTGAGAGTCAGCACTACTGTATGACCGCTGAAGAGGAAGTCTCCACACAGGATGTGTGACCCAGTTATGGACAACCCACCGCCAGAAATCAACCGGAGAATCCGCTGTATCTTCGCCTGAGAGTCTCCATTGAGCTGAGTGACACAAAACACAGAGGAGAGCTTACAAGACGCGCACAGTCATGCTTCGGTTGGAAGAGTCACCAGGCTGTGATTGTTCTCTGCTTGTTAAATTTTCCCTTTAAACACAAAAAGTCAGAAATATTCCTCAAGGTCCTCCTCATTATGTTGGTTGGGCTTATTGACATGTTTTAAATTATTCAGTATGTTACTAATAATATGTTTTAGTGGTGTCGTGTCCTTGGGCAAAGCTTTTAAAAATATTAATAACCAATGACCTCACCACTATGTGCTAAAAAGCAGATTGGAGCTACTTTGCTTCCTTTTGGCAGGAGGAAGTGAGGATTTGGGGCCATCACCATCCAGCTAAGCTGTCTACTGGATCTATTGGTACCGTATATGCATAAGTGAGCATACAGCCTTGCCAGTATATGCTGGAAACACAGTTACAGAATACTCATCCCGTAATTTACCTAGGTTTGGAAATGACACATTGGGGACCGCACCAGCAAGCTCTCACAGCTCTGACCAGGAAAGCATATCACAAGGAATCTAAGTTCTACACTGGGGCCAAGGGGACAGAAGCCTTTCTAAACCACAATGATGTCATAAGAAACAATGACAGGCTAGGGCAGGAATGCCCAGTGTTAGTTTATCTAGACATCCTATTAAAATTTCAGAATATGTGGGCATAATCTTAGAAGAGACACGCTGGGGGGCTGGGGGACAGTTGCGGGGGAGGCGAGTGAGTGACAGTCTACAAAAAGGAGAAACGCAGAAGGACTGGTACTGACTAGTCATTTGGGATCTTGGGGACAGGTTGGTGGCACGCCTGCCTTCGTTGTTCTCAGACTCCTGCCTCTGAACTCTGGTCCCTGAAGCACGACAGTCCAGCTGCATCAGCGGTTAGGCCGGCAGGTGGAGCAAACACTGTTGTGCGTTGCCCGAGTGGACACATGATTGTAAAGGCAGGTGTGTACGTGTGATAGGGAGAGCCTCAAAGCAGGTAGTTTGCAGCCCCGCCCAGGACATGAAGGGACCATCTCCCATTAGGGAGACCAGAAATGCCCCCATTTATAGCACATTACTATTGCGGGAAGCCACCTGTTACTAAGAGACCCATGGAAAAAAGGCAAACACGGAGCTGCTCAACTCCTCATCAATTGCTATACCGAAATGACTCAAAGCGGAATTAGTGCGGCGAGGGGCTGAGGCTTCTAAGACATTTTGCCTTACAGTTTGCATCAAGCATGGCAAAATCAAAATAAGTTTCCAGCAGTGGACAGTCGTTACTAAGATCTGGGCGAGGGTCTGTCACATGTTTACAGATTAGTTCCAGGATGGTGGTGTGACGCTATTAGAAGGTGGCTATTAACTGCCAGGCTGGGTGGTACACCCTTTGATTCCAGCTCTCATACTCCTGGGGGCAGAGGCAGGCGGATCTCTGAGTTTGCGGCCAACCTGGTTGGGGTGGGGTGGGGAGAGAGGACTAAGAGGGAGGAGGGAGCACATGTTAAGCTATGGAACCTTCTGGGAGATCTTTGGCTCTCTGCAGTGAATCATGGGGGAGCCCAGCCCTTTCTTTGCCCATCTTCTCTTCTTCCTGGCTCACAATGACAGCAGATGCTGCCTTCTCAAAGGCCCACAGGAGCCTCTTGGCAGATCACATGACTGACTTCAGGAACTCCCCAAAAGGCATTCAAATGGAATTTATTGGATGAAGTACCATGCATGCCCTTAACACGGGAGATACAATACAGCCATTGGCTCTCAGTGGCCATCATCCTTTTCCTGTCATGAGATCGGCACAAAAAACTACCCACAATGCGAACAAATAGAACAGGGAACACACAGTGCCCGATGCTGCACCCCAGACCAAAAGGATGTATTACCTTCATTTCTCCCCCCACTAACCTGTCACAACTTTTCTGAAGGTAGGAGCACTTAAAGTCATTAGTCCCTCTACTTCGGGCCAGATAACCTGAGGTGTAAACACAGTAGCTCCTGGATCACACACCCCCTCTTCTGCTCATCAATGTTGGTATATGATTTGCTTTCTCGGAGGTCTCAAGGCCAATCTCAGCCTGCAAATATTAAGTGGGCAGCTTCCCCTCAGGAAATAGTTTTAACTAACATTATATTAGCATTCCCTCTTATTTTATCATTAGTTATTTCCAATTCTTTACTTGCCTAGTTTATAAATTTAAACACACGTGCACATGCACACACACACACACACACACACACACACACACACTGGGAAAACTGTATACATACAGTACTACCTGCAGGTTCAGATACCCACTAGGCGTCTTAGGCCATGCCTCCTGTGGGAAAGAGAGACACTGCAAGGGCATTTCTGTGGCCTTTGGTTGAAGGGAGGAAAAGCCTCTCTTGCTTTCCATGCACATTTATTTGTGTGTATGTGGGGCGGGGCACAGAGCCGTGTGTGCGTGCGTGTGTGTGTGTGTGTGTGTGTGTGTGTGTGTGTGTGTGTGTGTGTGTGTGCACATGCTACAGCAGGCATGTGGATTTCGGGAGACAAGCCATGGGAGTTGGTTCTCTTCTTTTACCACGTGGGGATCAAACTCAGTTCACCGGGCTTGGCAGCCAATGCCTTTCTTTCCCTCACTATAAGCTATCTTACTGGTCCACCCTGACTTGACCCTTACACCCTATCTATCACTGGTAATCCTGAGATGGACATCGGGATTTAAAACTGCTAAGAACTTCCCGGGAAGAAAGGAAGGGAAGCGAGCAGGGTAAGCCTGGGAAAGGAAGAAGGACGTGAAGTCCGAGGCCTATCTCAGGTCGGGGAGGTCCTTGTGCTATACGTCACGCAACACTCATGACCTACTCATCTCCTTGTTTTTTCAGACATGAGTCCATGCACCTAGCTACCAGAAGAAAATTGAAGCTGCAGAAACCTAAGAAAGAAGCATCAATCAAAACACCCACACACTGGCGCCCCACCATTCTCAAGGACTCCTGCAACTGTGACTCCCATACGCTGCTTCCCACAAAAGGAAAATAGGTACAGAGCACTCCTAGGTGGCTGCAGACAAACAAGAAACCCTCCCGTTTAAAAGAAGCCCCTGAACCCACAGCCAGACGCTATGCAGAGAGAGAGAGAGAGAGAGAGAGAGAGAGAGAGAGAGAGAGAGAGACCTTAGAACACTCAGCCATAAGTGGATGTCTCCATCAAATCCCTCCCCTCAGGGCTCCAGTGGAGACAAAGACTGTGAGAACCAGAGGGACTGGAGGCCATCGAGGAAGCAAGGCCTTCTAAACACAGCAGGACAGATCCACCTATGAACTCCCAGAGACTGACTGAGGCAGCATGCATAGGGCCTGCACGGGTCAGCACCAGATGGGGTCTGGAGCTGAAGGAATGGACACACGCTCCCATCCCTAGCCCAGAAGTTATCTCCAATTGATAACCACTTGCAAATGAAAATTTCATTTTCTTCAAGGGAGTCTCACTGGGGGAAATCAGCTACTCTTAAAGGTAGGCTGCGTGCCTGCAGTAGATGGGCAACAGGAACTAAATTCAATGGCATCTTTAGATGCTCAGTAGCATCTCATAATGTCATGCCAGGGCCTTTATTTTATTTCCTTTTATGTGTGCGTTTGGGGCAGGGGGTTGTTTTGTTTTTCAAGACAGGGTTTCTCTGAGTAGTCATGGATGTCCTGGACCTTATTCTGTAGATCAGGGTGGCCTCGAAGCCACAGAGATTCACCTGCCTATGCCTTCCAAGTATTGGTGTTAAGGCGTGGTTCTGTTTTTCTTTTTGCTTTCTTTTTAATCTCTCTCTCCCTCCTCGTCTCCCTCTCTGCCTCTCTCTGTGTGCTTTGTGCAGATACCATAGCTTGTTTTGTGTTTTTATGGAATTCCTGAGTATTCAAGCAAGGGAGTCTCTGAGTCTATATGTGTTTCTTATGCCTCTTCTCGGGCTCTTTTCCTTCTCTTTGTCTATTCTGATGTGTTTATCTTTGTTTTAGCTACCATATTTCCTCAGAAGCCTGTTTGTTTCCTAAGAGAGATGGAAAGGGCATGGACCTGTGGGGAGTGGGAAGGAACTGGGAAGGATAGGAGAGGTTATGCAAATAAATAAATAAATAAATAAATAAATAAATAAATAAATAGATAAAATAATCTGTTTTCAATAAAAAAACCCTCATAATGTATAACCCACACATTTATAAGACTTTAAAGTAATAAAAGGGAAAAATTATTTAAAAAAAGAAAGGAAGGAAAGAAGGAAGAAAAGCCCTTTGGCCCGCTATAGCCTTGGCGAGGGAACGCTAACCCTAAAGAGCTTCCATGGGAAAGGAACATGTCCCTGTCTCTATAGAGATTGACTTAGAAAAACGGAATCATTTCACAACTGAGCCAACTTTCACGTAGGCACACATCGAAGAAAATAGAGATGCTGGCTGTACGCCAAAGCTTGGGTGGTGTATGAAGGAAACTGTAAGTAAAGGACTTGAACAAGTTACAAGAGAGATGCGGCCAACAGCGATGTTAGGCCCTCAGTGCAAGAGCCCTGGACGCCACTGTGATGTGATAAGTTCTGCAAGCCGTCCATTTCCAGACAGAGAACCTGTCATTGCCCACTCTGAAGGACTTTCACCAGCCGTGCCAACACAGGAAACAGGTAGATATCGGAAAGCCTTGTGGCTGGCCACAAGCATCGAAGCAGCACTTGGAAGCAGCAGTTGGGTCAAATTTAGAATGCAATTTTGATTCCTGCTCTCTATTCACCACATCTCCTTCAGCTGGACAGGCAGAGGCATATGTCCATTTACAGAACAGAGTCCCTCCCAGGCAAACACAGTCCACTTCTCAGGAGGGGTCTGCTCACTGAACGTGGTGGGTGATTAGCCGGGGCCCCTCCTCCAGGCGAGTCTGCAGCTCAGTCCCTCCGACAGCATACTCTCTGATACGGCTTTGGAAATCTGCTGCTCATCCATGAAGGGTGACCTTTAATATGCCTTTCTCTAATCAGTGACCCTTCCCTGCTAACCTCATCCATTCCTAGGAAGGGTTTGCCTTCCTCTGCGGTGGCCACCTCGCCACTGACCACACTGTAATACTGTTCATTACGCTTCTGAACTCACATGTCTCAAATTAGTTTCAGGCAAACCCAGTCGGTGTTTAAATTCAATGTGTAGACTGGTTTAATTACAGACACACTCTGCTTTGATGGCTTTAGGAAATTACTGCCTTGCCAAACCACACCTATATTTGGTAAGGGAGCCGGCTGGCTTCTCCACAGCAGCTCCGGCCGCCTTCCCTCTTGACATCTGCTTTGTGTTCAGTGACGTCTAATGTTAGCCCTCACTCCCCTGTCCAGAAAGCACATGATCAGTAAATTTCCACTTCATAAACCAGAGTGCACAGGGGTCTAAGATGAACAATGGCCCTCCTGTGCCTGGATGCTATGTGAAGAAACTAACTTCTCTGCAGACAGCTTCAACAACAGCAAAGCCAACGCCATCTTTCCAATGGTTAACCATCTAGAGTGGTCCTTGACTTTTCTTTTTCAAACCCTATCCACACCATGAGTGGCGTTCTGTTAATCTTTCTGGCAGGATGTGTCCTGGATGAAATGACATCACTTCCACGATCATGACCACCGAGGCACACAATAGTGACAACCTTTGCAGCCTGTGGCCAGTTCTGCTGACCCTCCCGCTGCATGCTGTTCCTTAAACCCGATGCATGGAAACTGTTCTCCTGGCCTGTGACTCTGACCCCACCCATGTGGCTAGTTCTCTCCCTTTCTTCTTGTCAAGTTTAAAACAAAAACAAAACATCTTTTCCTGACCTTTCTGTTGAAAAGCTCCTATTGTTTTCCTGTAACAATCATTTGACCTAGCATCCTGGGATACATTGTGAATTCCTTAAGAGAAAGAATATAAACTCTAGGGGAGGGCCTGCACTTTGGTCAACTATAGTGCCCGGGACCATTAGTATCATCCTTACAGAATGCATGTCTGAGATATATAAATAAGTGAAGACATCAGAGAGTCAAATATTGGATTATTAGTAAACAGACAGCAAATTCTTTCTTTGCAAAAATGTAAAATCCTTAATGAACACGGTTCCCCCAATCCAGAACAAATTAGACAGTATGCCAGACTGCAGCTAAGACCTGCGAAGGTGTATTAGAGGAATGTGTGGAAGAGTGAGTTGCTTTGGGATTGTATATTGATTGACTCCTCTCTGTGGGACCTGGAGGCTTACCTTTGGAGCACACTGGAAGTGCATTCCTGGCACAGGTAACGTAGTGACATACATAGTTATGCAGCGGTACAGGTATAAAGTTCCGATGATAAAGAAGAATCTGCGCCCCACTATGGACCTAAAGGGAACACAGGGATGGGGAGAAACAGGTTTACCAGTTGTCTGTCTTATTATTATTTATTTTACTGGGGTCGGAGAGGGGAGGGCAGGGTCTCACTCTAGTCCAAGCTAGCCTGGACCATGCTATATACCCAAGTCTTGCCTCAAACTCATGATCTGGCCTCCACCTCCTGAGAGCCAAGATTACAGGTGCAAGCTACCATCCTTGTCTCCCTGTACTTCTACTGCAAAGTAAATCACTGTTTAATTGACTGAAAATAAGAGAAGCAATGGAATTAAACAAATAAAAGCCAATTTCACAGAATTTTAAAGCTTGTGAGCTGTTCATCCCTTAATTCCATAGTGAGAATGAGTCTATCTCCATAAAGAAAGATTTATACATTGAAGTATACTTAAGTGATTTGGGGCCTGAAGGACTAAGGAAGTGTGGACACGGGAAAGTTAAGAACATGAAGAATCTAGATAGTCTCCTTAAAAAAAAAAAAAAAAAAAAAAAGTCTTCCTTTGCCAGGGAATTCAATAAGCCTCTCTCTGTTTTCAGTCAACTCGCCGATTAACAAAACCCTCTAGAGAACACATCAGAGGTGTAAGTGAGCCGTGACCATAGAGGAATAAACTAATGGATCAGGTGACATTACATAATTGGATACATAGGGAAATGTGACAACTCATTAAACCCTACTTATGCAAGCAAGATTTTAATTGGGACCATCCAGAGATGGTCTGACAATGTAGGCATGAATTGTTTTCTCTGGCTGGATAGGTTTTCAGTGAATTATATTCTGAGCATGGATTGATTCAGTATTATCTTGTTCACTATTGATTTTTAAATGGCCAAAGAAAATAAAAAGGAGTACAAGGGTTAGAATTGTTTGCCTTTTTCTAAACAAAATTGCACTATCATTTATTGAAGCATTATTAAAGCATTATTTATGACAACCACAAAATGGAACCGGCCTACATGGTTACCAGCTGAGGAACAGATAAGAGGTCATGTGTATGTATAATATCACACTATTCAGACATGAGAAAAGAGTTCAGTCCTGCCTTTTGTGACAACTTGGATGGAACTAGAGACCACATTTAGTAAGCCAGGCATAGAAAGTTTGAGAACAGAATAATTTCACCCTTATGCCAAACTGAAAAAAAGTTGGTCTCAGAGAAGTTAGGCACAGACTAGAGTTTACCAGGGATATGGGTGACTCTGTATTTGGGAGGGGTTATGTGGGAAGGCTGATCAATGTGTACTAAGTTACAGTTAGGAATTAGATGTGCTGAGATGTTCCATATAGCAAGATGCTACTGTTAACGCTGTGCTCTGTATTTCAAACATAAGTTAGAAGGACTTGAGATGCTTCGCCGTAATGAAGTGATAAATAGGCTGGAGAAACAGCTCAGTGGCTAAGGGCACTGGCTGCTCTTACTGCGGACACAGGCAATTCCCAGCACCTACATGGCAGCTCACAACTATGTGTAACTCCAGTTCCAGAGGTCTTTGTGTGTCCCAGGCTTGCACGTGATGCATAGATATACATGCATGTAAAACGCCCGTATACATAAAATAAAGTAAAATTTAAAAATATTTTTAATAAAAGTGTTTAAAGAGAGGCATGCTTGACTTGATGTCACATAGTACACGCTTACATGAATATATATCTCATTATGGAATCCAGTTTGTAAGTGTTTATGTACCAGTGAAAAATTAAAAGGCCTGGGGATGTGGCTTAGGTGTTAGAACATTTGCTGTGTACACAAAGTCTTTGATTCGATTTCTAATACTGCATAAGCCAACACCTTGCATCTGGGAGACGGCAGCAGGAGGGTCAATAGTTTAAGGCCAACACTCGCTACATAATGAACTTAAGGCCAGTCTGGAAAATTAAAATAAAACATAATAGAATTAAATGGAAAAAGATGGGTCGAGAAATAAAGGCAAAATGGTGTCTTGACTGCGGCTCTGAGCTCTTCTGAGTCTTCAGCCTAAGCCTATTGTTCTAGAAGCTGACTGAGCTCACTGCCCTCCAATGCCCAGGGCTTTGCCCACAGCACGACTGCCTCATGGACACCAGCATGGGTGTAAAAGGGTCTGTGGGCTCTCGGCTCCGGCACACGGTGACAGCCCCCTTTCTGTTATGTCTGTACGTGCCGGCTTTGAACACGCCCATGAGTGGGGACGCACTGTCACCTCCAATTGCTTGTTTTAACTTCTCTAGAACACACGGTGCATTCATTCCACTGGGTTTCTCAACCTCACAGCTCCCAAGTTTCCAAACCATCGCTGACCAAAAGACTCCAGAGTAACAGGCAGCCTCGGAGATGAGGAATATTTTCAGTTTTCCCCAAGACACTGGTTCTTACAGTGACCATGGTCAAATTCAGGTAACTTGGGACTTCTAATTTAATATATATATTTAATAGTCTGCCACCAATAGCTATTTCAAGAACATTCCAGGGTTTCAGGTGAGGGGAGATGAAAGTGCTAACTTACTGCACTTGGGAACCTACCTTTGCTGTCTTAGTACTGAATAGGCACAGTCAACAGTGCTGGCTGCTCTCCCTTAATTAAGTGGAAGCAATTCACTCTGTGATTCAACCCCAGCCCCCCCCAGGAGTGCTGCTATGAACGGTGCTTCATGCTATTCGACAATGGCAAGAAATAAGGAAATATTATTATGAGTCAGTTATTTTCATTCCAGTAGTCTGTGCCCAGCAGAGGATTCACTTAGGTGAAACACTCTACATACAGTCTTACTTAGGAAAAAGAACTTCCCATGGTGCGTTTTCCCTCTGAGTTTTTGAAAGAAAAAGAGACAGGAGAGTTATCTCCATGGTAGAAGATTTGGCCGACATGTGTGAGGTCCTGGGTACCGGTGCCAAGAAAAAAAGAAAGGGAATAAAAACAAAACAAAACAAACAACAACAACAAAAACCCTATAAAACAGGACATGTTAAGAGAGGCTGGGACTAGCACGATTTCTTACTTGGCTAGGGTATTAAAAAGGCTATGAGAATTATTCCACCAGTTACAAAAATCCAAGATCCAAATCTACTTCAAAACTGAAATGGTAAATTAATGCTGCTTGTGATCTTAGCAGTGGGTATAAAGCACATGGCCTAGGTAGGTGCGTTGTCAATATTCTCTTTTTAACTAGCATGTAGTAACTGAACATGATTCATAGTAGAGAGTGTGAAATTCCAATATCAATGTGCATGGCTTTTCCATTGTTCCTTTGTGTTTTTCTTTGTGGGCTGGCGATTTAACCCAGGACCTCATGCATGTTGGGTCAAGGGGGTTGAGGGGATGTGATGCACTGAATGACATCTCCAGCCCATGTCCATGAGTTTTGACATGGCAAAATCTGGGAAAGATAATTATAAGAGCTAGATCTCACAGAAACCAAGACGAAGGCTCCAGGGCAGGACAGAAACCAATTACACACTAGACTAAATATCTCTTCACACAAATGTAATTATAAATAGCCTTTACACACAGGGACCGTCCGGAGCCTATGCAAGCCCTACGGTGTTTAGTGTCAATTCCAGGCACCCAAAAGAAAACTAATGGTCAATAGCTACAGCCTTGCTTTTAGCATGTAGAATGTCATAACCGACACACGCAGAAGCGGTTTGCTTCTGTTAAGTAAAAGGCAATCTGTAGCTCTGCCTTTTATCTAAAAATATTGAAGACTTTTGACAGTCACCACAAGGAAACTGCTTATGGGCAGCTTCAGTTTGCCATGCAAGTTTGGGAAAATGCAGGGTTGCATTTGGGAAAGTCTTCGAGAAAAGCAGGTTGAACTTTTCTAATTATGAAGCAACAGTCATCTTCTAAAAGCAACCCTGTGGCAGTTAACACTGAACTCTTATTTGACTTTGGATCCTGAAGCTGTATTGAGGGATTTCCCATGCTTCATATTTTTTTTTAACCCTGAATTGTGGGTATTTTGTTCAAAGTTATATTTTAGGGACTTAATTCATGGGATCCAGTAGAAAGCAAACACCTAAATGACAAACCAGAGGACAGGGGAATTGAGTGGCAGAGAAATTCTGTGTACAGAGAAAGCAGAAATAAGCATGTCAGAGTGATGTCCAGTTTTTTAAGGAGAGGAGCCTCCCCTACTCCTGCTCCCCGGTTGGCACAGTTCTGATGCGGAGGAATGCAGGGGCTGAACTACCCAGCCACGTTCGCCTTTGCAGTGCCAAGGGGAAGCCAGGGAGGGCACGCTTACTTTCGAAATCTAAAACCCAAACCACCGAAACCTAGTTCCAAATTCAGCTTCTTAAACAAACACTGGCTACTTTGTGCCCGGCAGGAAAGGGACAAGAGAGCAAAGAAAGCTTAAGACCTTTCGAGCAGATGTAAAGTCAAAGCAAGCTGTTGACTGCACACCAATCATCCTACAATAAATTAGGGCGTCCTGGCCTGCTTCCTAGGGCACCTGCAGAGAACCTGGAAACATACCTGCTTTCCTAGCGTCTTTCTTCTTTTGACACCACGTCACCGGAAACCAGGCACTGAGTCCCCCTTCCACAAGACTCCTACAACTTCTTACCTACATATGTGCTCGCTCGATGAACACGTATGGAATAGTGGCCGAATTGATTCAATTATGCCTATCTACAATTTCGTTCCTCAAATGTCTAGGTAAAACTAAATGCATTAGAAGAATCTGAGAAACATTTTTAGTGACACATCTTTTCAGAAAAAAAAAAAAAAACACCCAAACCCAAATATGTTATTATTCAATACTTACTTGTACCTCAGAAAAAGCCACTGGGTGATCCATAACCCAACTAATACAATCCCATTTATTTCTGATACAGAAAATGCCCATTTGACCCGGTCGACGTAATCAAAAAATTTGTCTGGGAGTGGAGGGCTGAGCTCCTTGGGAGGGACCCTCTCGTGCACGACTGTGATCATGACAGTTGTTAGGACAAGGTTGAAGACAGCATATATGAAGGCAATGCCCGTTTTCCACCACTCCAGGGGAAACTTGTTCCTGGAGTCAGTGGGCATGGAAATCTGGATGTAGTCCGGGTACTTTTTGGCACCCTTACGTAGCCCATTGGATAAGCTCTTGGGTTTACCATTGCCAGTTTTGTTTCCTTCTTCTACCGAGTCAGCAGGGCCTGTGTAAGTGTTGGGAGAGTCGTTGGTCTGATTTTCCAAATGACCTTCAAGTTTTGCTGTCTCTATGGTATCCATGGTCTGTCAGCCTTCAGAGCTAAAAGAGATGGTAAGGTTCTTGTTCTCTGTGGAAACTTAACTCTCTTAAATCCTTCTGTTTCCAAGATCAACATGGACTCTTAGAATTGATTGTGTGTGCTGATAGGAAATGTAGACGGTGGCCTCCTGGTTCTTACTCCTCCCATACAGCAATCTGCTGTGTACTCACAAAGGAAGCTGATTCTGTTTCCCCACAGAAGATGTTATTGACCCTCCTAAGAATGAAAGAAAATGAGGTGAGAAATGGCTTGTCAAATTACCAACCATTCAAAATATAAACATTCTCAAAAGTGAGGAAACTAATACCAAAGTGGCTGCCCTACAAAGACATCATCAGATGCTGAGATTGAATTTATTTATACAGTGTTGGATCATTTAATCTTGGGAGTCTTGTCTCTCTGTGAGCTGATGCAAACATAGATAACATCTTAACAATCAATCCCCTGTTAATTTCTTCCAATAAAGCTAGGACCTAACATTTCAAGCACTCACAAGTTGCTAACCATGAAGTCATAATATACTAGAACCTGCCCGGAGACAACACCACTCCTTCCTGATAAGAAAGGAAGAGAAAGAGAATGAAATCTTTCCTAAGAAAAGGATCAAATAGTGGGGCATAGTGGCTCAACTTCTAATGATGGCATTTAAGAGGCTGAAGCAGGAGGACTACTGTGACTTAAGTTACCTTGGGTGACATAGTAAGTTTCAGGTTAGCTCGAGTTAAAGTATGGAATCCTGTCTCAAAACAATGAAATAAAAATGTGAAGGATTTGAAAACTCTGGGAAATCGCTGAATTGTTATGTCTGTACTTCCCACAACAGATGCATTTCTGAATTTCCTATTAGAAACCTATGATCCCTTTAGTGACTACTTTTATGAACAGGCTACAAAGCAACACATTCAACACTTAAAACAACAGTGCCTCAGTTTATCTTTTCATACCTAGAGACATACACTATATACAAAGTCAACGACCTTCAAACTAACAAAATGGGAAGATGGACAAAACCTTTGCTATGCCCCATTTGGGGACGGGGTAGATAGAAGTAGCCGCAGGGGAACTTCCTAAAATTGCCACAGGAAACTGATAACATTTTGATACTATCACAATTTCTACCAAGCAATAGAAACTGGCATCCAGCGGTCTCCTTGGGGCACTTACCTACTGTGGCTGAGGAAAGGCACCCTTGGCCGAAGAGCCACAGCTGCAAGGAGCAGAGAGTCCTTACTTACCACACGGAGAGAAGCCGCGGCTCTTATACTAGCTTGCACTATGGCCCAGCTGTTCCCAATTTAGGAAAGCAGCTTTCAGTCAGGCCACCAGCCCAGCCACCTGAGGGGTTCTGGAACCCTGTAATTAGTCCCCACCCTCAGTACACTGCCCAACTTTAACTCACTTCTTCCAAATTTAAAGGCCTCCTTTTCAGGGTAAATATGGTTAAATTCAATGTAGTGTCAGCTAAGCCTTTGATGGATGTAAAAATAGAAAAATGTAAGTGGTTCAGCTAGTACATCCAGGTATTTCCTTGACACCGTGGTCACTACAAGAGTTTACTGTACACTTACTATCTCAGCACTGAGGAATGCAGGGACAGATTAAAGGGCTTTTTTTTTGTTTTGTTTTGTTTGTTTGTTTAAAGACAACACAACACAGGAACTAGGGAGATGGTTCAGCGGGCAAAATGCCTGCCGTGCAAGCTTAAGGATGTGAGTGTGGATGCCAAGCACCCACTTAAAAAACCAGGCATGGTGGAGCATGCCAGTAACTCCAGTGCACATGCAGGAGTGAGTGTGGCAGTTGGAGACCCATGAATCCTTTGGGCTCGATGGCCAGCCAGTCTAGCTGAATTAGTGAGATGTAGGTTGGCAGCCCTGTCTCAAAAATTAAGGGGCAGAATGTCTGATGTTGACCTTTGGCTTACACACATGCTTGTGTGGGCACGCACGCAAACCCAGCCAAAAGCATCTATTTTAGTTGGCGAGCTAAAGCCCAACAAGGCTGCCGGAGACAAGGAAATATTCAGACTGTGAAAGAAAGGCCTGAGATGAGCTGGCCATGAGATGAGAAGTCAGATTTACTTGTTACATGTCCCTCTCCTCCTGCAAGAGGCATCCATTTTCAGACATAGCCCACCCTTGAGATAGAAGAGCCATGGGGGAAGTTGACCTGGTTTAAAAAAAAAAAAAAAAAAAAGATCAGGTCAATGAGTGGCCATGTGGGTTCATCCACTTCCAGCAGCTCACCTTCCTCTTGTCCCTTTGAAAAATCTCACAGCTACTGAGGACAGGGAAGCCAGTGTTCCTCCAGCCTGACCAATGTTCTCTGCAGTGTCGGCCGAAATGCCACGGGAAGAAAATGTGTGTGGGAGGGGAGCCTCAGGAAGATGGCTCCAACAGCAGCTCTCTCCAGCATGGACACCTCCTTCTGAGCAAGATACCCAGCCCCTCAGGTAGCTACGGCTGGTTTCTACCCGCTCCAGCCTAGTTGACAAACAGACTCAACATTCCACATGTGCTCCTAGCCTGGTGTTCATGCATTCAAGAAGCTTCATCAGTGGACATATGGGCGTTCTTTATAAGGTTGTCTTCTAGTTCTAGAACATAGAATGTGGAGAAGAAAATCCAGCCACTCTTTACCCCCTAAGAGGAAGAACTTCCAGCACCTACCTCAGGGGACTACTGTGAATTTGACTGAAATAATGATGAGGCAGAGTGTGAGCCCTTGGGAGGGCTAGAGAACTACCCTGTGAGTACAGTACCCACTGACTGTCATTAGCAGTAGAACTGGTGTTTTCCTTGGGATTTCATTAAGGTTTCAAATACACACACAGCACATGTCGATGAGGTTGTGAAGATGACTATGTCACACTCATTTTCATAACTGTCCCTCTCACTGTGAGAAAATGACAAAAGCCACAGTGGTTCCTCTTTTAGTGGCAATTTCATTAGTTCACGGGTTTGGATTACCACACCAGATCACAAACAGGTGTCAAGCTCTCCAAGTACCATGAGTTAACCTAGATAACATCGAGACAGTTTATGATCTTTACAAACCCACTTCCCTTGAGAAAGCAAATGCAAAATGCTGAGATTTGGTTTTGGTATGACAGTATGATTCTTTTAGTTTTTTTTTTTTTTTAACTACAAAGTGGGACATATTACAGAATTTTAAGTACTGTTTATAATTAGGGAGTGATTATAGTGAAATACACCAGAAGCACATTTTAAGACGTGATAATCAGGCTGGAAATATGGCTCTGTAGTTAAAAGGGCACCAGCTGCTCTCGCAGAGGACCTGGGTTTGTTTCCCAGAATCCATAGACACACCATCTCCAGGTCCAGGAGATCCAGCAGCCTTGTGCGGCCTCCATGGGCACCTGCACACATATGGTGCACATACATACATTTCCTCACATACACACACAAACAAAAATATATCAATTTTTTCAAGTAATTATCTTAAATGAAGTAAAAGGGGCATTTTCTATTTTGCAGATGAGAGTATCCAGGGCTAGCAATGGGAATAGCATTGCTACGCTGTCAGTGTGAAAATATCATGGTTGCTGGTGTATTATGTGAGTTGACGTCTTCTGTGAAACATCCTACTGCTGCTTCCCTTTGCATTCTTAAGTTTGCAATGCTTTGTTGAACAACAGGAGATCATGCATTGTGTTCCCATGTTTTATGTCTGTCATCTTCACTGCTGAACAGTGGTCTACTCAGCGTATCAAATGTCTTAGTCAGGGTTTCTATTGTTTCAATGAAACACTGACCAAAAAGCAAGCTGGGGAGGAAAGGGTTTCTTTGGCTCACACTTCCACATCCCTGTTCATCACGGGAAGAAACCAGGGCAGGAACTTGGAGGCAGGAGCTGAGGAAGAGGTCATGGAGGGGTGCTCTTACTGGCTTGCTCCCCATGGCTTGCTCAGCCTGCCTTCTTATAGAACCCAGGACCACAAGGCCATGGGCTGGATCCTTCACATCAATCACTTAATTTTTTAAAAAAATTCCCTACAGGCTTGCCTACAGCCAGACCTTATGGAGGCATTTTCTCAACTGAGGCTCCCACCTCTCAGATGACTATAGCCTGTGTCAAGTTGACATAAAACTAGCTAGCACACCAAGACAAGTGAACAGTCAAGTAATTAATGAAAAACATATATACATGAAACCAGCTTTCTCAAACACATAGCTATTGGAAGGCTTGCTCACAAATTAAACACACAGAATGTATAATATAATCAGCTTTGAAAAACCTAATATAAGTATGTTTACTACCTGACCACAAGCTATTGGATTGATGTCCTTCCACTATGTCAAAGGACAGAACTGTCCTCAAATCTAGAAATTAATTAAAATATTTAGAGTTTGTGTGAAGAAAACTATGAAAACAACACTCATGGGAGAAAACACAAAGATACACCGTCCTCATAGGAAGGAGGATGAGCCCATACATTAAGAGTCTGACACTGTCATGTTCATATATAATTTAGTCATTGAGTTTTAACAATCTGGGTAGGATTTCTCCTGTAATCTGGCAGGTTCTCTAAAACAGGAATTTAAAACGGGAAGTGGTACTAGATCTATGCCTCTACATCACATGATGGTGCGGCCATAATGGACCTTTCACCAGATTCCTATCTTGTGGGTTCACCACACACTGAAATAAGCATACAAAGTATTTTGCATGTTTTCAATGGTCAATTATGAGAAAAACCTGTGGGGGGAAAACCTCACTATTCAACATAGGGGATGAATTCAAAGAATCATGTCTCTCTCAAGAATCTGTTAAAAAGAAAGAAAGAAATGCTGTGTGGTGATAAGGATGGGCTGCCTGTTCCAGATCTGAAAAACTCCGAAGTTCTGAAAAATCTAAATTTTTTGAGCACTCACATGATTCTCATGGTTCAATACAAACTTGATTCATATATAAAATTATTAAAATTCTGCATAAAATTACCCTCCCCTGTTGTATATATAGGGCATATATGAAAGGTAAATACATGTTGAACTAGGCTGGATTCTAGCTGAAAGAAATATCATCACGTATATGCTAATATTCCAAAAAAATTTCAAATCCAAAACATTAAGACTTGTTTTGATTAATGTGTATGCCACATGTGTGTAGG